TTTATAGTAGACAAGACCTGACTTGATAGAAAGTTTTGCAGTCTTTAAAGAAGCAGAGTAATTTTATTGCTATAGAGGGCTGTGTCGTTTCAATATTTGCATCCTATTTTGCATTAGTTAACAATCAAATTAGTTTGACTTGCACTCCAAAGTTACCGTTCAACTTTGGTCATTTTATGCTGGTACCTATATACAGATAGATGAAAAGAAAAAAAAATCTCCCCTCAATCGAAACTAATATAATTTCATATTTTAATGATTAAAAAAATTCCCTCTTGATTTTCATAAATAAAAAAGAAAACGAAAAGAAAAATTCGCCCAATCGAAATGAATACAATTTTATTTTACTAATTATTTATTAATTTTAAGTCATTTTTATTAATTAATTAATTATTAAATTCAAAATTTTTAAAATTTTATTAAATTCTTCGAAAACAATTCAATTATTTTTAAAAATAGTCAAATTCTTCGCAAGAATTAAATTATTCTTATAGGTAATAAAATTTTTTGCTTATTTAATTATTTTCAAAATTTTCAATAAAAATTATAAAAAAACTGCATTGTTTTTAAGAATCTTAAAGAATTTCTTCAATTGAATTTAATTATTTACCTCTAATATAATTGTTTAAAAGAATTTAATTTTTTATCAATAATATTATTAATTTAAAATTTTTAATAAAATTCAAAAGTAAAATTATTCATTACAATAATTAAAAAAATCGATTATATTAAAAAAATTAAAGAAATTTTTTGAAAGAATCAATTATTTTCAATATTTTAATAAAATTTCTTGAATGAATTAAATTATTTAAAAAAAATTGTAATGAAATTCTGAGAAGAATTTAATTATTATCCAAAAATGTTAATAAAATTCAATAATCGAATGTTTAATTTCAATTATTATTAGCAAATGCGATTAATTATTAAAAGAACTCGAAGAAAATTTTTCATAAAATTCAATTATTTTCAAAATTTTTCAATTAAAATTATGAAAAAAACTCCATTACTTAAAAAAATTTTTTTTAATTTCTTTAAAAGAATGCAATTAGGATTTTTAAAAGTTTTAATAAAAAAATTCTTCGAAGAAATTCAATTATTTAAAAATTTTTCCATAAAATTCTTTTCCAAGAATTCAATAATATTCAATTCATTAATTTTAAAATTGAAAAGATTTAAAAATAAAAATTATTAAAATAGTTAAAACGAATTTTTACAATATTTCTTGATCATCAAATTGTAAAAGAAAAATTCCCAAATAAAAACACTTAATTCTTTCAAAAACTTAAAAAGTTAATTTGTTTCTATTCCAAAAAACGTATTTTGAAAAATGATTTTTCAAAATTTCTAAGGCATTAGAAGAATATTGGAATTATTCTGAAAAATAACTTCTAACTTTCACCTGACTAAAAATCTAATTAAAAAAAATTTTGCGGAAATGTCTCTCTTTAATTAGTTTTATGTTTAAATTAGATACTTAATCTTCTTATTGATTTAATGTTTATATGAAAACCATATTGAATTTCCAATATTAATGAGATATTTTGAAAATTAAAGTAATTAATTTGCATAATAGTTTCAATCGTCTACCAAAAGGATATAGATTAAAACAAAAATTTTTTTTCTTTATGAATAAATAAAGCAGAAGTCTCATTAAATCATTTGATATGTCAAAATGCCTATGGCACAGAGGAGTTTTGCATTTTTATAGTGCCTGGAAGGCACAACGATAAAGTAAAATTGTCGCTTGTTCTCGTTTATGAGAACAAGTATATAATATATATTCATGCTAATCCTTTTCCTAGCAGACAATTTCTAATATGTTTTAAAATTAATTAGTTTGCTTTATATCTCAACATGATATAATATAGATATTTATAAAATCCTACATGAGAGATTTCTTTTTTTCTTCCCATCAACTATAGAGAATAAAAGATAAAACGTTATAATTTTATTTTTAGAACTATATATATAAGATTATTTAATTAAGTACATTTTCCTCGTATATAATTGGATCGGATATTTATCTTTTTCACAAAGATTGTGTAAGTGCAAAGCATGATTTTTTAACGAGCTTTAGAAACTTTGAAATGAAATAAAAAAGAAAAATTTAAGGTTATTCGACTATAAGCTGTGATATTTAATTTCTAACTTTTGTCATTTAAAATTCGATAAATTGATAAAGTGAAATAAAATAATTTTGTGATCAAGTATAGTTGGTTGATTGAATATTTCCTTAAGAGTTGATATATTATTCAAGTTGTAATGAAAGAAAATGACTTTAATGAAAGAACAGGGTTGTTACAAAAATTTAATTTTGTTTTTCCCTGATTTCCAAACAAAATTTTTCTCTTTTTTCCTGACCCTAAAGAATATTCTGATTCACTCTAAAAATTATTAGATACTCAAAGAAATGTATTACATTTATTTACGAATTTCTTTAATTATTGTAAAATTATTTAAAAATAACAATAACTTCTTTTTTAAATAAATATTTAATCATTATTATTTTTCCATAGGAAATAAGATTATCAATAATTTCAAATTTAAACCTTTTAAAATTCAATAACTTTTAAGAATATTTTATAATAACACAGGCACACAAAAAAAAAAAGTTTCGTGGCCGAGACACTACAGTAGTATATTCCCATGTATTTTTGGCCGCTGAATCCGAATCTGAAGTCCGAATGCTCAAATTGGTTCTTTTTTTTTAGTTATACTCAAAAAACGACTCAAAACACGAATTTGAACCAAAAAAATTAAAAATTTTTTTTGTGACATGACAATAGCATATTTCTATGTATTTTTTCCCGCTGAATCCGGATTCGAAGTCAGAATTGACAGATGTGCTCAAAATTATGAGCTAAACTCAAAAAACGACTCAAAAAATCGAATTAAAGTGACGAAAATGAAAAATTTTTTCTGTGACACTGCAAAAGTATATTCCTATGTATTTTTTCACGCTGAATCCGAATTCGAAGTCAAAATTGACAGATTTGCTTAAAATTTTGAGATAAACTCAAAGAAGTGATAAAAAAAGCGATTTAAAATAAAGAAATGGAAATTTTTTGCTATGACACTACATTACAGTATTTTCATATATTTTTACACTCGGATCTCGCATTTGAAGTCAGAATTATTCTAATGGCTCAAAATTTTGAGACACACAAGAAAATCTGTTAAGTTACAAAAATTAAAGTCAAGAAACTCTACTTTTCTTGCTAGTACACTACATTAGTATATTCTCATGTTTTTACATCTGCTTCTAAATTCAAAGTTAAAATTATTAAATTGGCTCAAAATTTTAAGTTAAATCCAAAAATGATCAAAATTTAATTTAATGCAAAAGAGTTCATTTTTTTGGTATTCGGTAGTGTATTCTCATGAATTTTATATACGCTGAATACAAATTCGAAGTTAGAATTATCAGAATGACATAAAATTTTTTAGAACTCAAACCACTTTGAAAATTCTGACTTTGGAATCACAGTGAAAAAATACATGGGAATACACTAGTGTAGTGTCATAGCAAAAAATTTCCTTTATTCATATTAAATTACATTTTTATCATTTTTTTGAGTATATCTCAAAATTTTGAGCAAATCTGTCAATTCTGACTGCGAATTCGGTTTCAGCGGGAAAAAGTACATGGGAATATAGTAGTGAAGTGTCATAAAAAATTTTTTTCATCTTAATTCGGTTTTTTGAGTCTTTTTTGAGTGGTTTTTTGAGTTTATCTCAAAATTTTGAGCAAATCTGTCAATTTTGACTTCGAATTCGGATTCAGCGTGAAAAAATACATAGGAATATACTTTTGCAGTGTCACAGAAAAAATTTTTCATTTTCGTCACTTTAATTCGGTTTTTTGAGTCGTTTTTTGAGTTTAGCTCATAATTTTGAGCACATCTGTCAATTCTGACTTCGAATCCGGATTCAGCGGGAAAAAATACATAGAAATATGCTATTGTCATGTCACAAAAAAAATTTTTAATTTTTTTGGTTCAAATTCGTGTTTTGAGTCGTTTTTTGAGTATAACTCAAAAAAAGAACCAATTTGAGCATTCGGACTTCAGATTCGGATTCAGCGGCCAAAAATACATGGGAATATACTACTGTAGTGTCTCGGCCACGACACTTTTTTTTTTTGTGTGCCTGTGTAATTAAACATGACCGAGTGATAAAATCATTATTTTATATTATAAGAATATTGTTACTGTGACTTCTTCAAAATTATTTTCATCAATTCAATTATTATTTTTAGAATTTTTTACTAAAATTTTTCTTTAAATCAATTATTTTTTATAATTTTTGAAAAAGTTTTTTTTAATAATTTTCAAATCCATTTGTTTACAATTCAATTTTACACGAAATTTCGTTTATTTGGAAATTCTTCAATTAATTATATATAATATAAATATAATCTAATATTATTAGAAAATAAAAACATGAAATAATTTTTAAAAAATATTATTTATGAAAATAAATAATTTTTTTGTAGAATTTTATAAAAAATTTGTTTTATATAATTGAATTCTTTTGGAAAATTTTATTAAAATAGTAGATATTGAAAATCATTGAATTAAGGAAAATGTTTGAAAATAATTGAAATTTTGCCAAGAAATTTATTAAATTTTTTTTAAATAATTGAATTTCGGAGAAGAATCTTATTAAACTTTTTTCGTGATAATTTCAAAGTTTATGAGTCAACCAAAAAATACACAAAAATTCATAATTTTCCTGTGAATTCTAAAAATTTAATTTTTTCCAGTACTTATTTCATAAAATTCCCTGACTTCCCTGACTTTTCCCTGAATTCCCTGATCTGTGTCAACCCTGAAGAAAATTACTTTAATGTAATTAAATTATTTTAATGTAATTGAGAATAATTTTAAATGTTCCAAAGTATTTGTAAGTAAAAACAGAAAAATAATATTTAGAGGTTATGTACATTCTGTCAATTTGTATTTAAAACGTTTATGCGACTCATCACTTAGAAAACTCACCAAAAGCTATTTTCCAGTCGTTTCCTGTATTTCCTGGATTTTTACTTTCACTTTGACTTTCAGTTGGCCGAAGTTGAAATATTGAAGAAAGTATTCACACGAGAAAATTGTTTCCTCATTTGTTGCAATTGAACACGATAAATTATCACTTGACATGCTTGACATTATCCGAGATTAGTCTACCTGTGGAAAAAAGTGTCAATGTTTTCTTAAGAAAGAAAATTACAAGACGAACCTAGAAATACTCACCGATCTCGTTGATTTTCGCTATTTGTTGAGTTGATGTGACAACCGCGGTAGTCTCGTAAACACGTTTCTTCCTTCTCGAGACTTTTCTTTCCTTTGATTCACATATGATGTCTTTGTGTACCACAAGAATACTTCTGTATCGAAATTTCCTAGTGTCTGACAATAATTTTTTACTTGTGCCAAAGAGTATTTTCCATTATTATGAGCGTAAAATGAAAACATTTCGGACGCCATTTTCTTTTGCTTTGCTTAAAGTCACTAGATGAAGTCACTAGATGGCAATGCAATCGTTTGATAATTTATTGCTCATATTCAATCAAAATACTCGGAATAATACGTATGTATATATAAAAAATAAAATATACTCGAAATGCAGCAAATGGACTGTATTTTAATTCTCCCGAGGTAGATTCGTGTAGAATTTCCGGATTCCAAATACTGTTCGGCTTCGGGCATCATGTGCAGTGTCAGTGACGACGCCACAACGCATGTACTTCGTCTCTTTCGTTTACTATATTTTGAGTAGAATCTGTGCGGTACGTGTAAGATTTGTCCGAATTTAGAAAAATATTCGCGAAAATTAGTAAAAGTACTGGACGATTTTCGCGATTTATCAATTATTTTGCGAAGGAGTAACACTTTTATCGTGAAAAAGTAGGTCACCACCAGGTGTCAGTTCGATACAACACTAATCAGTCTTGCCAAATTGACACCCTCTATAAGTAACAATTCCACCAATTGTTAGTGCAAGACTTTTTGCCCTACAAAGTTGGTACTGATGACGCCGTGAACTGCACTTGCAGCCATCTTCACATCATAAGTGCAAAGTCGCCATTTTGTTCAGTAACACGAGATCGTGTCGTCGGCCCCAGTTTTTTTTTTGTGAAAAATATCCTCCTTTCGTGATTCGAATCAGTGAAATTTAAAGTCGCAAAAGAAATAACTCTAAATTCGGAATAATTTCAAGTTTGACTACAAATCGGTCTCGCGTCCTATCTCGCCCGAATCGATTGTTGTTTATTGTTAGTACTTTGTTTCTCGCTTTGCTCTAAGAAAGGCAAAAACAATTGCAATCTCTTTGCCATTAGAAGTAGTGATTATTTGTTACCAGAAAATTGTAACACTGCAAACGAGTAAAGTTTACTTTTCATTCCAATCGTGTTTGTTTTCGTATAGTTGTTTGGTAAATAAGTGTATATAATATAAATTGTGAACAATATCGGATATGGAGCAAGCTGGAGATAGAAGTGAAGAAAACATGTGGATTATGAGGTAGAGTAATTTATAATTTTTGAATCAATCGACTGATTTGTGTCATTTTTGTCAATGTGCGATATTTCTACCTAATTGGAAATATTCTGGAAAAAGATAATTTTTCTATTATTAACAAATAATAATTTTGGCAACCATTTTGTTTGTTGTTAATTGGCGGGAAAAAAGTATAAATACAAATGTTGATGGTAGATGGCGCAAGAGTAGATTCAACTTACCGACAGAGGGAAAATAATTTATTTTTTTGTTTTGGAAAATTATACTTGTCATATTTCTCATAACTGTAAATAAAAAGAAAAGTATTACAATTGTTTATTATATTATTTTTAAAAAATAATATCTTTTGTCAGTGACAGCCAAATGAATTCATTTTTTAACACAATTTTTCATAAATAACAAAAGAGGTTATAGGAATAATAAATTAAATTAAATATATTTTATTCATTTTATTTCAGTGAAATTGTATTAACAATTCGGTATTTTAATTAAATATTAAATTCTTTCTATTTCGAAAATCTACTGTATTTTTAATTTTTCCAATTACTTTTTACTTTTGTATTATCATGGTCATGTCCTTGATGGAAAAAAAATCTTTCAATTGATTCGCATTTCATAAAAGTTAATAAAAAGAAAGAAAGAGGAGAGTAAAATGCAAAGAATAGAAATTGTTTGGCTTGGGGTAATTTAATTTAATGAACTATATAGACCTAGTTATTTATTTGACTTCCTTACTGTTGAATAAATTCTGAGCATTATTATTTATTTATATTGTGAGCAACTGCATAAAAAAATATGATAAACATGACAAGTTTCAATTTTCAAGTACGAACAATATATATTTATCCATTTTCTCTCTTGACGTTGAAAGGCATATTTTGTCCTCTTTTGTGAAAAAAATAACCAACTTCATAAAATCTGCTTCATGTAATGTGTATACGAGGATATTTAATCCACACGAGACTATAACAAAGAGTAACATTTATTCTTCTAAAATAATAAAATAAATTTTTATTTCTATTTCCAAACATACGTGTTTTTTGTAATCAGTTCTAAATTTTTTCTTTCTTCTATTACCATTGGAATAATTTTGCAATTTATCTGTCAATATTATAATAATTACAAATTTAATTAATATTGATAAATATTTTCACAAAAATTTTTTTTATTGATAAATATTGACAATAATTTTAATATAATAAATATTGACACTTGTAAAATTTTTAATTTATTTAATAATAAATTTTACGACATAATGAAATATTCCATCAGTTCGCGAGTTGTTTTCAAAGTGTATATTGAATTCAGAAATGATAGTTTGATATTCAAATGAGTACAAACCGAAGTCAATGTAAAAGCTATTATACACGGATATTTATACCGACGTTCCATTTCTGTTATATTATATAGTTATTTGCGAATTTGTTGTTTTAATAATTATTTTAAAAAAGTGAGTTTTAACCTTTTTTCTTTTACAAGAATATATTTTTTGTAAGAAAAAAAAATGGTTGATCCTTTAAGTAAACCTCGTAAAATACAGTTACAATAAATTACAATAAAAAAGACAATGTGTGTGTGTATGTATAAACGAAAGCACACATGAGATCGACAAACATTAAATGGAAACTTGTTTGCAGTACATACATAAATATAGTAAATGATATTATTACTATACACATAAACTTTCATAACTAGAAAATGCAAAGCAAAAATATTATCAGTTTTAATTTTTATCTTCTTTTTTTGCAATGAAAAACTTTACACCTTTTTTTGAACTAGTGAACAAAACAGATAATAGTTGTCTCTGGCAAAAATTAATTTTATGTAATTCTCAGTTGGATAAATTTTATTTAGAGGATATTAATTAAATTTAATATTTTGATAATTTTTTGTTATTCGATTTTTGTCTGTTAAAATCAGGAGAGAAAAAAATTTATTTCAGAGCGTCTACATAATTTTATTTATTACAAATAAATTTATTTCAAATAAATTTTATTTATTTACTTAAATCTAAATTTAATTTTGGTCAGAAAAGCATTTTCTTTGGATAAAATAAAATTCAGTTAATTTAAATAAATTTTATTTCAACCAAAAAAAATCTATTAAATTTACTTAAAAATTTGATTTTTGTATCAACTAATTTTTGTTTGGACCAAGTAAAATCTATTTTATTTAAATCAAAATTTAATTTGCATATATTTAACTTGCGTCAAATCAAATTTTATTTTATTTAAATCAAAATTTAATTTTTGTCAAATAAATTTAATCTGATGGACCAAATAAAATTTATTACATTTACGTAAAAGTTTGATTTGTATAAAATAAATTAATTTGAATAAAATGAATAGTGAGATTAAAATTAAAGAATAAAGGATACTATATATTAATTATAATAAAGACACAGTTTTTCAAAGGATATCTAATTGAGGTAGGTAAACCTACAAGTACCACTTTCACAAAAAAATTTTTCTTCTATACTAGAATTAAGAACTAATTTAGTGCTAATTTAGTAACAAATTTAAAAATTTAGAGCTGCTAAACTTTTTAAAAAAACGTATGGTACTGCCAGCTTGACGTAGGTATAGCTACAAGTACCATACCCTAAAAAATAACAATTTTTAAAAAACTTTTCCACAGGAATTTAGAACTAATTTAGTGCTCTAACATAGCATTAAAAAGAATTTTCAAAAAACTACCCTTAATCTCAAAAACTACCTAACGAAAAAAAAATATTTTTTAAAAATTTTTTTCATAGAAATTTAGAACTAATTTAGTGCTCTCACACAGAATTAAAAGGAGTATTTTTCAAAAACTACCCTTAGCCTCAAAAACTACCTAATAAAGATTAAGAAACAAATTTAAAAAAAAAAATTTTTCGATAGAAATTTTAAAGCTAATAAAGTTCTCAAACTTAGTACTGAAAGATATTTTCCAAAAACTAATTTTAACCTGAGCTAATTTAGTGCTCAAACAATGCACAAGAAAAATTTTCCACAAAACTACCTTTTACCTCAAAAACTACAAGAAAATAAAGACATAATTAGGGTAAATGCACTAGTAGTCGGACACTTAAGGATACAATCTTAAATTATGCTTTTTTTCTTGAAATAGCAAATATCTACTGTGTTTATAAGCACATCATTAATTAAAGGAGTTCTTCAGGATTAAAAATCATATAAATTTGTTACAAATAGTTGAGTATTTAATAAAATATAAACATTTTAATAAAAAATTACGAATGCTTTAGTAGTCGGACACTTTTTCCCCTTGTTTCTATAGTCGGACATCTGTCAGATATTTTGAATTTATAAAAAGAAAAAGATAATTTTTTAATTGCTATCTGCTGGAAAATGGAATTAAAGCATATTAGAAGTTATTAATATAATATTTAAACCCTATAAGTTTTAATATTTATGATTAATTGTCAACAAAACTTTGTGCCACTCATCGCGCTACTCGAAAATGGTTGTATCTATAGTCGGACATCATGATTTTTAAAGCATTAAATAAAATATTTCTTGTTTAATTATTTTCGAAAATAACACTATTTTAATAAAATATAAACTTCACACATTCGTCTAGTATACTTTTTAAAGTAATTATCACAATGGATTATTATTTATTTGCCAAAAAACACGAAAGTGTCCGACTACTAGTACTGTCCGACTATACCCGCACTTACCCTATTTCTTAATTATTTTCAGAGCAATTTAGGGATAATTTTATGCTCAAGAATAGAAATTAAAAGTAATTCACAAAAACTACCTTTTACCTCAAAAACTACCTAACGAAAAAAATATATTTTTTCAAAATTTTTTTCATAGAAATTTAGAACTAATTTAGTGCTCTCACATAGAATTAAAAGGAGTATTTTACAAAAACTACCCTTAACCTCAAAAACTACCTGGCAAACATAAAAATGTATATTTTTTCAAAACTTTTTTCAAAGGAATTTAGAGCTAATTTAGTGCTCTAACTGTATTGTAATTTCTTTTGAATAAAATTAGCCTCACAAAATAGGGCAATTTTAAGAAAAACTGACGAGGCCCTGAC